CCCCCCCCCCCACGTTTTGGGGCTGGGAGAAAGGAAGAGGGTTTTCACCCTCTCCGCCTTCGGCAACCATCCAACACGGCCCCCAAGGTCGGCGGACCCCAAGCCCTAAACTCTAAATGCCAAACCCTAAGCCCTAAACTCTAAACTCTAAACCCCCCGCCACCTTGCACACAAGTTGCAGGAAGCCTCTAGGCTTGCAGCGGCTTAGTCCTAAAGGGGAGTGGGGGAGTGAAGATAGGGATTATTATCAGAGTGTATATGGGGATTATAATATCATAGGAGTTATTATGAATGTGTATATGGGGGTTATATATGGATTATTATGTTATAGGGATTCACTCGCCTCCCCCACTCTCCCTGAAGCACTTGTTACGTGGAGGTTGACACAGAGTTTCACCACCCTTCAGTTGAAGCCTGGCGCACTTGAGAAGCGTGGTGCCACAACTTTGATTTCTGCCTGGGACGCCAGTACAGAGCATGACGCACGAGCCTTCGTGCTGAGGCACGACTTCTAGGTGTCACGTCCAGTCACGCAGACAGATCGTTCAGCAATGCGCACCGCCTATGAATCCAGCTGGAGACATGTTGAAGAGAGCTAGCCTCGAATCCCCAAAACGCTACAGCCTAAACCCTGAACCTTTTAACCCCTCAACCCTTATAGTCTTATAAGATCCCCATATACCCCATATTCTATCTACTTAAGGGGGACTATAACCCGAAACTTTAAACCCTAAACCCCAAACTCGAACCCCTAAACCCTAAACCTTTATACCCTTACACCCCAAATTCTAGCCCCTAAACCCTAAACCTTAAACCCTAAACCCTAAACCTTTAGACCCTTACAGGAGCTCCGGCCTCTGCTCGTCCCTGCTTCGGCTCCTCCTGACCAACTCAGGGAGACCTTCGAGCAACATGGCGGCGTTTACCTGGACTCCACAAGTATGTTTAAAAAATGCCTTTATGGCTATTATTGGGGGTTTAGGCTTATTATTTTACCTACTTTTGGGGTTTAGGTACAGCCTAATCCTGACAGTTTTAGTTAGCAGCAATATTATTAGTAGGATTTGGGGGTTTAGGACTTAGGATTTAGGGTTTGGGCCCCAAAACACCTAAAGATAGCCCAAATGGCCATTATTCTACATACTTTGGGGGTTCAGGTAGTAGGGTTTGGGATTTAGGGTTTACGACTTCGGGTACAGAAAATCGGGTTGGGGAGTACGTCAACTTGGGAAGATTAGCAAGCCGATCTGCATTTCTGAGAACATCCTAAGCCATTGAGAATCAGAGTGGCCAGTTTGAGTGGCACGTCCGCTCCAGCCCCGCCAAAAAGGATCTTTGTCGTGAAGTTCAGATATGGGTCGAGACGCTTCTACTCCTGTTTAGAGAAAATACCAATCTAAGTCTTCAAGAAGGGGGTATCTGCTGCCAAACGCTGTAATCTGAATAGCTTCTGCTACCTTACCCTAAATCCTAAACCACCTGTAAAATCGATGCTTAATTCGACACTTGAAGCTTTGTGCAGTCAGATTCTGGACAGAATCCTGTCAGGAAAGATCGAATATGAAACCATCAAACCAAGTTCTTGGCCCCCAAGCCCTTTAGGGTTTAATGTTTAGGGTCTAGGGAATCACAAGCAAGCCTTTCTAGACCATAAAACTTCCCTGCAAACTAGAGCTTGCAAGGAAGTACGGAGTGTGTGTGGTCACTGACGTCCTTAGCCCTCAAGTGTCTTGGCTTCAGAAGTACATGCAGGGGTTTGGTTTGGGTTTGGAATTCGAGTTTGGTTTCTTTCTGTACAAGACATTCCCCGTGTTGCTGAAAGTCCACAAGTGATATCTACTTAGGGCCCTTGCAAAACCCGTGAAGTCGTGGGCCGTTATGGCTTTTAGGGGTTACCAGTTCGCGTGCGGCAAGTAGCATTTTATGGTGTACCGAAATATACCGAAATCAGGTGCTAGGCTCGAGACCGTCAAATCAAAAGAAGTTCAAAAGTATGGGATTTTGGAAGTTACCTACCGTAGGCCCTAGTTTCAAAGCCGAGAAACCCTACCTGAACCCAAAAAGGTAGATAAAATCATAGCCCCAAACCCCCCAAGACTAGCTCAAAAGACCATTATTCTACATATTTTTGGGGCTCAGGAGGGCCCCAAGAGAACCCTAAGCGAGTGATTCATGGCAGCAACCTTGATTCTGCGCTTACTTTTTAAGGGGGGATACTACGAGTTTAGATTATAGCTCATATTGGGATAATGGCGAAGAAAATGGAAACTATTATTTAGGATTTAGGGTTTAGGGTCCCCCTTAAAGCCTTAAGTAGATAGAATATGGCTTTGGGTATATTATACCAAAAACCCTGCATGACCTTATGTACGTTTTATTTTGGGAATTATGGTATTCTAGTATACAAGGTCCGCCAGGTCTTACCCTAAACGCTGAACCCTAGACCCTAAACCCTCAGCGCTAAACCTTAAACCCTAAACCGTAAACTCTAAAAACCCTAAACCTTAAGCATTAAACCCTAAACTCTAAACCTTAAACCCTAAACTCTAAACCTTAAACCCACAACCCTAAATCTAGTATCAACGCTAGCAGCATGGCCTGTGTTTTGTCCTCCTAGCCCAGGCTAAGATAAAGGTCCAAGAGGTTGACAACCCTAATGTAGACCCATGATTAATAAACCACCTCTTTTTGAAGGTCTTAATCTTAGAATCCCTATTATAATCTCATTAAGGGGAGGAGTTTATTAATCAGGGGCCTGGGTTATGCCCTGAGGCTTAGGGTTTAAGGCTTAAGGATTACGGTTTTAGGGTTTTAGGGCTTAGGATTTAGGGTTTAGGGTTCAAGGTTTTAACTTTCAAGGTTTGAGGGTTTACGGTTTAGAGCTTAGGGCTATATCTCCTGCAATATGGATTCCCCCGCTGAGAGTTTCCCCGTTGAGTAAGGATGTTAGGGGTTGCTTAGGAGAACCCGTAACAAAACCCTCATCCCAAAACTCTAAACCCCAAATCCCAAACAAAGCCGTTGATACTTTCAAGCACATGATAAACCCTTATTCATAAACTCTGAATCCCCGAAGCCAAACGAAGACTATGGGACCCTAAACCCTTAAACCCCTAAACCCCTAAACCCTAAACCCCTAAACCCTAAGCCCCTAAACCCTAAACCCTTAACCGTGAAGACTATGGGATTCTTTAAGCTGCGCAAGAAAGGAGTGCGCGCTGATGGAGCAGATTTGGCTTCAGGATCTCCTCCAGGCCCTGGTTGCGTTTACAGCCCAAACCCTTAGGGCCTTAGGGTTTAGGGTTTAGGGTTTAGGATTTAGGGTTTAGGGTTCAGGGTTTAAGGGTTTGGGGTTAAGGGTTTAAGGGTTTAGGGTTTAGGATTTAGGGTTTAGGGTTCGGGTATGGGAGTTGGGGTCAGGATTTTGGAGGTTTTGGGGTAGGGAAAAGGTCTGTAACCCCAACCCCTGGGTTTACCAGACCGCCCAGCTGCCCTTAGCTAGGGTGGGTTGGTCCTGTTTGTTGATGCTTGGGGTTCAGGGCCCGGGTGTAGGGTTGCAACATCGGACTTGAAGGTTTCATGCTGTTTGCCCCATAGATACTTTGTTTTGAGTCATCACCATTTTTTAAGGCTGGAAAGATTGCGAACAGCAATTTTTCCTGAAGCCGCACTTTGATGTCATGTGAGCGGTTAACTTTAATCTAAGCAAAGATCACCTGCTGGACATCATGTTTATTCGTACCTCAGCCAGCTCACCATGTCTATTGAAGTCCCGGCCCCAGACCATGAGAGTACATGTTATGGTCTGAGTGTTGAAGGCTCAACGCTGCTGGTACTTGGAGCCAAAGACCTTATGGTTGTTCTGTGAGGGCTTTGTGAGTAACTGAGATTCAAATTTAAAGCTTCTTTCCATGTATGACCCATATATTCTAAACCCTAAACCCTGAACCCCTAAACCTTAGATCCTTCACCTTGAACTGTTTTCTGCTTCAGCCGGGAAAAGTACCGCTGCAGACTCGTAGGATGTAACTGCCTGGGCCTCCTCGTAAGACCTGCTCGTTCATGGATTTAGGGTTTAGGTTTTAGAGTGTAGGTTTTAGGGTATAGGGGATTCTCCCTACATTCCCCTACACACTACAACGACATGCTGCTGAGCACTTCACAGAGTACCTGCATTTACTGAACAGAGTGGTAAACCCAAGCAGATGTAGCAGTTTCCATGTTCTTTCCCGTTCCCGAACCTTCACTTTGCGAGGTCTCTTTCACCCCAACCCAGACCCCTGGGAGGATCTAAAAATTAGATCCCCTGTATAGACCCATTATAACCCATATATAATCCTTATATAATTCACCCTAAACCCCAAACCGTAACCCTTGCAGGTCTTAGATGAGGCAAAGATTCCCGACGCCGGGGTGGCCGGACAGGTGGCCTGGAATAACCCAAAGTAGGCATCATTTAAAGTGCTTAGGGTGTGGGGATGGGGGTTTATGGTTTAGGGATTAGGGATTAGGGATTAGGGTTTAGGGATAAGGTAGGATGAGGGCTTAAGCCATTGGTGGCGACACTCTGGGCCATTGCTTTTATTGATTGTAGGACTATCATGGCCCCCTTGATATGAGCTATAGTCTAAACTCCGTAAGGGGGGTTATATGGGCTATAGTCTAAGCTCAAAGCGCGGTTATATAGGGGATTATATATTGGAGTATTCTAGGGGGTATTAAGGGGGAAACTAAGAGTTTAGACTGTAACTCATATACGGGATGAACTTGCGGGGTTATTCAGGGGGCAACTAGGGGGATCATGGTTCATATGCACCCCCGTAAACAAATGATGCTGAATTAAAGCTTCAACAAGGCTTTATACGCCCCAATAGTCCCCGATCATCCTCCTAAGCCCCAAACCCTCAACCCTAAACCTTAAACCCTAAAACCTACAACCTAAAACCCTAAAACCCTAAAACCCTCCCTAAACCCTAAAGCCCTAAAGCCCTAAACCCTAAAACCCTAAACCCTGATAAGGCTCACACCAGCCCCATGAGTTGAGGGCCTGCAGCCCTATATACGGACTAAAGTTGGGGGCGGGACCCATAAGGGAATATACAGGGTTTTAGGGGTACCTTTTAAGGAATATACTAGAACTTTAGTCCAGGGCTCATGTGGTAGGGTTCTGGGCTTTAGGAAGTACATGTTTATAGGGTTGAGGATTGAGGGGTTCAGCGTTTCAGAGGTTTCGGGTTTTGCCATCATAAGACTCTCTACTTACTGTTGCTCGAGGGGTGTTGCCAAGAATAGAGGTAATTACTGTGCTGCGTATCGTGCCTCTGTATAAAATGAGAGAGGTTTTATGGGGGTAGTTCGAGTGATCCACTCGCCCGCTCACCCTTGAGCGCCAGTAAGTTCAAGCCAAACCAACGACGCAATTTTCACACAATATTATGGTCTCATATTCCTTCGGCAACCATAGTATGGGGTACCTCAAATAGATCGCAAACTGACATTGAAAAGTATTTAGGCTTCTACATTATGTGTTGGAATCTGTACGTAAGCTCTACTCATGATCTCTCACCACTGTCTTTTCCTCAGTTCCTTCTCGAAGCTGTTCATGCAAAGGGGAACATGTTTGGATTCCTCTACCCGAAACGCTAGGCTACTGGAGTTCCAAGATGTAGGTTCTTCTCCCGAAGTTCCCGGCGCCATAAGCAGCAACTGGCCTGATAGGGTTAAGGGCTTTAGGAACGCTTGGGCCAACCCCAAAGAACTACAACTCCACGCTCTGAACAACTGCGTTTATCAGGGGGCTCAAAAGGTGGGATAAAGCTAGGTGGGTTAAAGGATCCCTATTGTAGATTCTACGATATTGGGGCTTAATTCCTTCACTCCACCTACCTTCATCCCACCTTTTGAGCCCCCCCAGTTTAGGGATTGTTTAATCTTGGAGCACAACTTCAGGTGCCCGTAATTAAGACGGGCACATCTTGGGTACATGCTATGTACCTGGAAGGCAATGGCCCAAAACCTACCGGCATAGCCAAAAGACTCAAATTCTACACCCCAAGGTCAAGGGTATTAGAGTTTGGATCTCAGAGGTTAGGCCTAGGTAGGCCCCTGGGATATTACATATTCCCTAATGATAGCGGCTTTACTGGGTAATCCCACATACAAATATGTTCAAGGTTTTTTTTGGGGGCCAACCCGGCTGAAGGAGCTCCTAGGTAGCCTTTGGCTCGGCCTCTTTTGGACGCGCTATCTCATCCGATTAAGACCCTAAGGGACCAGGGACCAAAATAAATGGGTTTTCAGGGCCCAAATACTGTAAATTAATGGTATTTGGGCTCCAAAACCCTATTATTTGGGTCCTTGGACCCTTAGGGAGAGTCTACTTCTGTAGATATCCCAACATGGAAGCCACCCTAAAGCGGAGAACCTGTATCTAAACCCCTGCGTCCTAAGACCCGTAAAAGTCCGTGGGGTAAAACACGCCGAAAACGACAGATCCTAAACTCCCAAACTCACCCTACACCGATGCCCTTAACCTTCAAGTACACCCTAAACCCTCTAAACCCTCTAAACCCTAAACCCTAATATACCCATAATATCCCATTGGACAAGAAACTCTTTAATCCCTATGAACTGCAAAGCTGATCCGAGGTCCAGGCCTTGAAAGAGCGAGGGGCAAAAGCCTGGCCGAAAGATTGGGATGAGCCTTGGAGTCATGTAGGGGGCTGTTGAGGGTCTAGGGTGTGGGGTTTAAGGATTATGTATATAACATGATATAGGGTCTAGGGTTTAGGGGTTATGTAAAATGATATAGGGTCTAGGGTTTAGGGGTTATGTAAAATGATATAGGGTTTAGGGGTTATGTAAAATGATATGGGGGTAGTGTAGGTGTTACAGTTTTGGGTATGGCTCTTTGGGTGGTTTATTGCTAATTGCTAGGGTTTAGGCCTTGGAGTTTTGGGGGAGAGCTTCGGGTGCAGGGAGGTAAGTCAACGGCTAAGGATTGAGGGCCCTAAACCCTGAGCCCTACCTGAACCCCAAAAGTAGTAAAATTGTAGCCCAAAACATTTAAATATAGCCCGAAAGGCCATTCTTCTACATACTTTTGGGGTTCAGGTAAACGTAAGTTTTGGGAGTCTAGGTTTTATGGTCTGGGGTGTCTGGTTTCTGGCGTGGTTCAGGGTGTATTACCCTAAACCCTAATCCGGGATGAGCGTTGGATAGCATATTGAACACTGATAACCACTGATTTCTCGCGGATAAGGCATTTTGCAGATGTTTTGCTCGCGCGGAATTTAGGGTTTCAGGTGCGTGGGGGGGAGTATCTCAAATGCAGTAGTGTTTTTTCTCCGCGTTTGTACTCCACTGGTTATTGTACCGTACTGCGCGTCTTTCAACATTAGCCCGAGAACTAACAATTAATGTAGATCTCTGATTAATAAACCCTCTCCGCCCTTAATAGGGATTTTAATAAAGATCCTAATATGAAGGCTGTTACAGGGAGGGGTTTTTATTAATCAGGCGTCTACAGTAGCCATACGACCCAAACATCCCCCCTGACGATGAATGTGTTGAAAGGTGGGGGGTAGGGGGACCATCCAATGCATTGTTCTAGGGTTCCCCTGGAGCCCCTTAGAACGAAACGTATTGGAAGGTGCCCCTGTTGGCTGAGGGAACTTGTGTGAAACTTGGGAATGTATTGACACCCACCCTCTCCTCGAATACATTCGGGGACCCATCCAGTACATTAATGTACATTATGACATTCAGGGCCACCCCTGGAAGCCTGAGCCAAGCAGTCAGCATTAAATCCTCGATGCTCCACGATCACAGATGGAAGCCATGATAACATGCTTGTTTCCCAAACTCCTGACTCCGCCTGCCCCCACCCATGCAATACATTCCAAAACAGGGTGCAATGTATGGAATAGTCCCCCGGACCTCTTTAGGGGCTGGGAGGGGGGATACCCAAACCCTGCAACTCCAATCCTGAACCCCAGCATCGAAAATCCTAGAAGCTGGAAGTAGGGTTTAGGGTTTAGGGAGCTCAGAACCCTACAACATCTACTAGGGGGTTTAGGGTTGGTTTAGGGTTGGAAAACAGGGCCGTTTCAGTTACCATGTTAGTTGGTGATGGTAGCTTCTTTTTTTTTCTCCGGTGCCTCTTCCCCGGGCTGTTTCCTAGGAGCTTTTGACAGTTATCTGATCTGGTTCCTTGAGAAAGGCCACATAGATTATCCATGTTTCAGTCCTTAATTCAGAACACCTAAAAGCTTAATGTGCCTTTCCTGGGATCCTTAAATGCCTGCACTCAAGCTTCTAAGACCCGCATCCATGAAGCCTATATCTGGAAATGAGGTTTCCCTCAGCACAAACAATGGAGTTATGATTTTAACGCCCCAACCCCCCTGAAGGCCTACACCCCTCTGAAGACTTCTGCAGTACATAAGGCACCAACCACCTGGCGACCTTAAAACCCTAAACCTCAAACTCCAACCTACAAACCCTAAACCCTAAATCCTAAATAGTAGTTTCCACTTTCTTGTTCCATTATCCCTATATAACCCCTATAACCCCTATTACAAATTCTCAAGTCCTAAACCTTGGACACAGAACCCCAAACCCCAAACCATCTACCCTGTAGCCTTGTTTTGGGATAATGGAAGAGAAAATGGAAACTACTATTTAGGGTTTAGGGTTCAGGGTTCAGGGTTGTATATTTTGATAATGGAAAAGAAAATGGAAACTACTAGTAAAATATTGGGGTTCTATATAGACAATGGAAAAGGGAAACTACTAGATAGTATATAGGGGTTGTAACCCTCAAGCCCTGAACCCTAAACCTTATAGACCTTAAGCCCTAAACCAGCAACCTCAAGCCCTCCACCTTGTGCCCTAAACCCTCAACCTCGTGCTCAACCTTAAACCTTAAACCCTAAACCTTAAGCCCTAAACCTTAAACCCTGAACCTGAAACCCTGAACCTTAAACCCTAAACCTGAAACCTTCAACCTTAAACTCTGAACTTGAAACCCTAAACCTTAAATCCTAAACCTTAAACCCGGGGCCTCCCCCCACCCCCCCCAAGACGAGGACTTCTTCGGCACCAGAGGTATGGCACCAACCTACGGCCTGCCTCATGGCGGCTTTGCTTGGGCAGCGCGTCTGCACCCTGCTACCTGGCCTGATAGGGCCTGGCCTGGTTGGCTTGAGGGTTTAAGGTTGGAAAGGTTCAGGGTTTAGGGTTTAGGCTTAGGGGTTTAGGGTTTAAGGTTGAGGGCTTGAGGTTTAATGTTTATGGTTTAAAGTTTAGGGTTGAAAGTTGAGGGTCTGAGGTTGAGGGTGTAGAGGGTGTTGGGTTCCAAGTTCAGGGCTTTGAGTTTAAGATGTAGGGTGTTTGGTTTCGGGTTTGGGGGTTATAGGGACATTTCCTTCGAAAAGGGGTTTGTTTTGGATATATGGGGATGTATGACAGGCTTGTACAGGCCTAGGTTTCTTCTCAAGGTCCTTTTTGAAGAGGTTCTAGGGGTCAGTCTCTGTATGGTGCGGATTATATAGGATGTAGGTTGGGTACTGCCCCCCCCCCCCGCCCAGTAACAGTCTATATTAGGGGTCCTATTTAGGGCTATATATGTATTATGATTATTATCCAACTGTTACCTGGGTTGGCCTTTGGGATACTTAAATATTTTCCAGAATTGGTTTCATAAGAACCCTAAATACTTAATACTTTTCAAAGAGTTCCAAAGGCCAACCAAGTTACTGAAAGGGGGCAGTACCCAAGATGTAGGGTTTTGGGGCTTGGGGTTGGATACTGTTCTGGAGGTGCTTCTAAAGCTAGGGTTTAGGGTTTAGGGTTTAGGTAGGCTGCGTGGTATGCAAGCTGTTTTTGCTGGACGTCTAAACCCTAAATCCTAAGCCCTAGGACCAGTAGCTTGAAACAGATTCCTTGTCTAAGGCTGCTTCTAGCTACACTCACCAACAGAATCTGTGGTCACTGGTGCGCCACCAAGAATCCTGGGATTTACGGTTTAGGGTTGTAATTTTGAGAAACGGATGGGGTGGCCGGTGACCTTGAGCATTTAGATCCAGCTAGAGCCCAAAGTCCAACAACATACAGCCTGAACCCAACCCCCAAAACCAAAGCCCTAAAACGGCTGTCCTTTGACAACCGTGCAGGCAGTTCGACGCGTGTTTGCCAACTTGTTGCTTGACTTCTTCTAGGTGAAAAGGGGGTGGCAGTTTCATACCACAGAAAAGTATTGAATGTGAGTTGTGCCGTATACGCCCTAAGCTGGTTTCCTTGCTACTGTATCGCTTCCGACCTCTGGAATCCTTGGCCCCATGCCCCAAGGCCTGAACCCCCAAACAAGAGGGTGTAGTATGGACAGCTTGGGGTTGAGTGTAAAGGGGTGAAGTTTAAGGTACAATTGAAACGCTCAACCCTAAACTCAACTCTTAGGGTGCCAGTACCAGGCCCAAGCCCTGGCACCTGAATTAGTAGAATGAAAGGTTTAGGGGGCTTAGGGGTTAGGGTTTAAGGCTGTTTACCCGGAGCGTTCAAGATCCCAAATATTGGGATTCTAGGTGCCCTTAAGCCTTTCTTTGGGTTTTTTTGACCCTTAGGGTTAGGGCTTAATTAGGGTTCAGGGTTTGAGGGCTTCGGCTTAGGCAAGAAGAGACGGTGTTAGTTACGCGGGCCCCGACTTGGGGAGAAGGTAGTACGTGATTTGGGGTCTAGGGTTTAGGGCTTAGGGATCCAAATAGCCCAGCATATGTATTAGGTGAGGTGTATATAGTAATAGTGATATTGCAATGATAGTAAGAATAAGTACCGTCATAGCAATCACAGTAGTAATAGTAGTAGAAACAATAACAGATTGAGGTGAGCAAGGTCCATTCTTGAACGCGAGGTGTAGCGTGGTGAGGCGTTATGGCTTGGATTTATGTGTGGCTTCCGGAGCTAGCTTGAGGTATGCATCCGCATTACTCAGAAGCATATGTGCAGGCCATTTATCACAAATTCCTACATGTGACCCTTGCTTGCTGTTGCCCGCAAAGCTCCGCAAGACCTTCAGAATTATGAAATTCTTTGGAGCCCTCGGGGAAGTGTCGTGGTTGTTACGTCTTCCGTCGTGCCGGCGTGGTAAGCTGGGGAGGAGGAGAGCTAAGTAAGTAGTTTCCATTCTCTCTTCCATTATGCCTGTATAGCCCCAATATATTACCCATTTTTCCATTATCCCTAGTAGTAAGCTGGGGAGAAAAGAGCTAATTGTCTAGCTTCGAAGCCGGTGCAGATCCATAAGTACTTGGAGGGTCATGGGGACTTCGTCTACCACATGATAGGGTTATATTGGATATATTTATTGGGGTTTTATAGTAATAATGGAAAAGAACATGGAAGCTACTATAGGTCAAAATTATGGTCCCGTTTTGGGTACCCTAAATACTAGGTGCCGTATTATGATCGGGATCCAAAAGGGACCATAATCTTGACAACCGCCCATATAGTAACCCCAATGATCCCCATTATTAACCCCTAAACCCTAAACCCTAAGTCCCCATGACCCTCCAAGTAGTGGCCGTGATGCTCTGAATACGCGCGTTTAAAGTATATATTGGGATAATGGAAAA